ACATGAAGTAGAAATTTTCAATTGAAATGGCCCGACCAGTCAAACTGACTGGTCTGGTATATCTAGTGTTAAAAGATGTTATCCGCAAAAGCCACTATAGTGGCGCGTCGTATTGGAAGATGGCATCTGCGAAAGCCACTATAGTGCAACGAATTGCCTAAAAGGTTAAAGCGGCCATTTGTAAAGTGTCTGTAACTATAGTATTAAAATATAAAAAAATAAATAGAAGGTGATATAGCAGAAACATTAAACTATCGATTTATTCCAAAAGAAGAGCTAATTTTCCGATAATTAATTCCAACCAATGAAAGGTACGAAAAAGAAATCTCCACGTGTCCCTTAGAAAATGAAATAGAAAAGAATTAACAATATTCAACCAAAAAAAAAATCATTTGCTCTCTTTCTCTTTCTTTCTCTTTAAACTTGGCTTTCCATTTCAGTTTTTTTCCCCTTCTTCTTCTTCTTCTTTCTTTTTTTCCTCCATCTTTCTTCTCCAGTGGTAAATCATTTCCCGGTCGCAGGATCGTTAAGTCTCCTCGTCTAATTTACCGAGTTAGATAGGAAACCCTTCAATGTCTCCCCTCGTGTTCCAGTCTTCCGTTCTGTTCCGATCCTTCCTCGAATGAGGAGTATTCGACGACGACGACTAAGATGAGGATGGGGAGAGAACAGGGGATAAAAAGGGATGAGGTGGGAAGGTGGAAAGGTGGGGGAGAAAAGACGAAAGGAAGACGAGGACGACTACGAAATTTCAATTTCCGAAGCGAGTCGCAATGTCGAGCATTATCGATGCCGTTACGCGGAATTGCTTGGCACAAGCTCGCCTAGCCGGATGTAACTTTCCTTCCATCTTTTCTTTTCTTTTCTTTTCTTTACTTTTCTTTTCTTTTCTTTTCTTTTCTTTTCTTTTCTTTTCTTTTCTTTTCTTTTCTTTTCTTTTCTTTTCATGGTGTATATATATATATATACTTTCATCTCACTCTCACTCACTCTTTCTAACTCTTTATATCTTTTTTCTTTCTATTTTTCTCTTTCTTTCTCTCTCTTTCCATTCTTTTCTCCCTTAACCCCCACCCCCTTCTACCCCACGCACCCCTTCCCCTTTCTTCACTTCCTTTTATCAATCGTCTAACTCTCTGCTAGCCCTTTCCCTTTCTTTTATTCGACATAATTCTCTATCCATCAAAAACACCTGATTCCCTTATTTTGTACATGATAACATGCCACACGATTCTACTTTCTTTATGTTAGGATTTTTGTTTGTTTTTTTTTTTTTTTTTTTTTCAATCGTCTAACTCTCTGCTAGCCCTTTCCCTTTCTTTTATTCGACATAATTCTCTATCCATCAAAAACACCTGATTCCCTTATTTTGTACATGATAACATGCCACACAATTCTACTTTCTTTTAATGAATATTTTTTTTTTTTTTTTTTTTTTTTTTTTTGTATCGTCTACGTTTACACGCGTGTTTATTGTATATGTATATAAATTTTTGTAAATTAATTGTAATTTTTTAAATTTACAAAAAAAAAATTTGTTTCGTACAAAAAATTGTAATTTATAAACTTTACACAAAAGTTTGTTTTATAAAAAAAAATTGTAATATTTAAAATTTACAATTTGTTTTGCAAAAAAAATTGTACTTTTTAAAATTTACAAAAAAATTTATTTCGTAAAAAGATTTTAATATTTAAAAATTTAAACAAAAATTTGTTTTGTAAAAAAATTGTAATTTAAAATTAAAATGTAATGTTTGTATTTAAATGTGTTTCTATAGGAAAATTTTTGAGAAATATTTGTTTGACAATTTTAAAATAAAACTATTGATAGGATGATATATTATTTGTGTAATAAATAAAATATTCATCTTAAAAGTGTAGTAATTCATTCAATCGAATTTTTCAATTTTTGCCTTCTTTTCTTATTTTTTTATTATTAGAATTCGCGTTAAGATGAAACTTGCGGTTGGAGGAAATGACCTTGCCCGAGAAACATTCAGCTTTTTTAGAAGATCATTTAGATCGTTAGGAAAAGAAAATAACGATAAGGAAAGAAAGGTTACCCGGTCGTTACTCGGCTTATCTAACGCCAGTTCACACGCTATGATGCAGAAACGAATGAACTTGTGTACACAAGAAACGACGAACAAGCAGCTCAACGATAATGGCACAAATCGACCGATCGAACAAAATATATCATAGTCGATACAGGTTTTTTTTTTTCTTGTCGATAATATTATTTGATTTATTTGTTTGTTCTGATTAAACTCTTACTCATTTGCGACATTAACATTATTACATCATTTTCATTTAATTAACACACGGTCGTATTATTTCTTATTTCTATTTTTAACTTTCTGTTTACGATTCCAATTGTAAAACTACTTTTTCTTTTAATTTATTTATACGAATAATACTTCGTTTGATTTTACATGAGGAAGTGAAAAAAAAAATAAAAGTAAAAAGAAATAATAAAATATTGAAACTGTATATAATTTCTATTGAAATTCATCATTTATTTGGACCGTATATAATAATAAAAACCATTTAACTAGATACAGTTAGAAATAGCTTTGTTTTTTGCGATAAGAAATTAACTCGCGTTAGACTGTGTAAGAGTAAGTAAAGTAAACATTTTCAATGTAACGCGCAATACTTCGATTCATGCATACGATAGTAATATTAATATTAAGTTGGCACACGCACGTATCAAAGGAAATTTCTCATTAATTTATGTAAGTTTTGCTTACGATATCTTGAATGGAATGGAATAATCTAATGCGAGAAATAAAAGAAACACAATTTAAATACAAGAAATGTGAAGATTTTCTATTCTATTTGTTTTTCTTTATTGTTCGTATTAATGTTTTAATATTTTGCTTAAAACGCAAATTAATGTTCTTTCATCAGCGACAAATAACGTAAAATAAAGGAGTAAATAATTTTGTAAAAATGATTTGAAATTTTCCTAACACTAAGATTTATCATAATCGTTGATTTTATGTCTCGTTTATACGATAAATCGAGAAAACAAGAAATAAAATAGAAAACCGGATAAAATCTTGGCGATTTCTATCTTTCCCTCGTTTTCTACTTTCCCACAGGATTCTCTCTTTCTCTCTCTCTCTCTCTCTCTCTTCGTTTTTTTTTTATTTTTACTATTTTACCACTCTCACTCTCGTTCTCGTTCTCTTTTACTTTTGCACAAACGTCACGTGTCGCCATAAAGCTACGTGCCAGTAGAAACAAAGGATCGACTACGACCCTTAGACGATTTTTCGCGTGTGAACAAAATAGAAATGTAAGTCAAGGATTTGGCGGTAAGAAACTAACAATAAAACATCTGTGTCTGTTTAAACATAAGATAGAAAATTAAATAGAAAACAATTGTGCCAATCCAGATCTTTTTCTTTTATTAAAATTATGATTACATTTAAATTTTGTTTTTATAAATCCACGAATCACTTGTAAAAAAAACAAAAGTTTGACACAAATTTATACGAAATCAAGCAATTCTTTTGACAAAAATACAAAAATTAAAATTGAATTATAAAATTACGTGTAATGTATTAACAAAAACAGAAAAAAATATATTTTTAAAGTACAATTGAAAACAATAATTCGATGAGCACTTTAATCAACATTCGTAATTAAAAAAAAAAATAAAAAACATTCTGACCGAGATTGACGAAGAGAAGTTCCAAAATAAAAAACAAAGAAAAAAACAATGATGAAAACTAATACATAATCATAACGTCAAGCAGGCCATCAATGATGTCAATGTAAAAAAGAAGAGATACTCGTCATTGAATGAAAGAACAACGAATGTTAGGTGCACTGTATTAACATAGTCAACATTAATAGATATTATGCAAAGTAACAAAAGAGAACTGTTATCGAACGTCGGCACGTTGTAGTCGTCGTCATCATCGACACGTCCAGTGAGAAACATCGGGAAAGTCTAACACAAAGGTATAATACGTTTTCTTTTACGTTCTTTCACATAAACACACACGTACACACATAGTATACACAGGTGGTAATATTACGTTGAAGATTATCATCACTTCACAAGAACCAAAATTTAATTATGAATATAAATTTGTACAAATATTTCCTAAAAATGTAAAAAAAAAAAAAGAAATAAATATTAATAGGATTTTTCGTTAAAAAGTAAAATGATATATACTTCGTTGTATTTAAAAATCATTAAAATGTCTAATTTTAAATTCGCGATATTCGTAAGATATCAATTTCGTAATTATATATATAAAAGCTATTTTTCAATGGAAATGAGTTTGCGATATTTGCAAATAAAAAATAAGAAAAAAAAAACGAAACTCTATAAAGAGTCTTACGCGTTATCTCGCACTCATGGGTACCAGATGTTTCAAGACGTATTATGTTAATACGGAATACTAAATGAGTTCGATCCTTGGGTTGGCTGTTGTTCGATTTGATCGTCACGATCCATTTAACATAACTTCCATACGTGTAGTCGATTAAAAATACAAGTAACAAGTATGTTTCTGACTGAATAAGTTAAAGAAGAAGGACTTGAAAACATAAAAAATGGAAAGGGTGACGCGTGGCAGTATGATAATAGAACGTGAGAACGTATCATTATACTTCGTGTGTGGACGCAACAAATTCAATTAATAATAATAAAAATAAAAAAGATATACGAAACACGAGAAAGTTAAGCGTACGTTTCCGTTGAAGTCAGCGTGCACATGTTATACGCGTTTTTATTTGCGTGTTTTTTGGAGAGAATAAAAAAAATATTCGGAAAGAGAGAGAGAGAGAGAGAAGATAAAAGATACAAAAAAAAAATAAATTTTACGAATATGCCTGGAACCATCTCGATTACGCACAAAAAAAATAGAAATTAAAGAGAACGAAGTAATACATTGATCGAATAAACGTACATACATATATATCATATATGTGTCAAAATATTATTATAAATACGCATAATTATAATATGCAATAAAACATACCAGATGACCATAATAAAGATCCAAGAACTTTCCACGCTCCCTCCGTTTCAACGTTATTTTCTATTCTTCTTTCTTCTTATCTCTTCTTCTTCTTATTATTATTATAACACTTGACTAATTATCAAAGTCCAGAGTATAGAAGAAAACACGTATCACGATATAAAACACCGGGTGTCTTAGATCACTGCTCGCGAGCCTCGTATTAAAAGGCGAGGCTCACGAACGGCGATGTGGTGCACGACGATGACATTGACGATGACACCACTTCAAGAGTTTTTTTTACCTTTTTCACTTTTACGAAAAAAAAAAACAGAAAAACAAATAAAAACAAAAGAAAAAAGAAAAAATTAAAAAGGATGGAACTATCGAAACGAAAAAAATAAAAATTAAAATAAAATAAAATAAAATTTCGAGAGGGGGAGAGGGTGGTTCAGTATCAAACAACGTTCCTCTTCGTTCTTCGAGAAGTATATAGTATATAAAATCCTTCCTTCCTTTTCCAAAGATATATTCGATGCTCCTCGAAACTGACTTTTTACATTTATAACGCAAACAGAACAAAGTTAACTTCCTTTTTCCCCCTTTTTCCCCCTTTTTCCCCCACTGCAATTCGTAGACGTAACAGTTAATAATTAATAAAAGTAGAATTGTTACCAAAAACGTTATCGGCAGCACATTAAATTTTCAGGAAATGTCAATAATAAAAGAAAAAAAAAGAAGAAGGATTTAAAGGAAGAAAGGAAAAAAAGTTTTAATTCTATGATATGTAAAAGAAAAACAAATTAATGGGACAGGGGGAGGGAAGGTAGAAAGGAATAATTATAGACGAATGTTAATTTTGGGAAAAAAGGATGTACAAGGATGATGTGTAAGGGATTGTTTAAGAAAAAGGGGGGAACGGGAGGAAGGGATAAAAGATGGTAAAGGACGGTTGACGACGTTCGTATCTCTCCTCTCCTCTTTCCGGTGCGAACAGGTGGGCACACGCTCGCGACACGCTGCGCGCCCGCGGAAAACACGCGAGTCTAGCGAGATACGGGAAAACGACAATGAGAGAGAAGACGCACGCGTCGCGACGGCTTGACGTCGACTAAGGTAGATTCTACTCGGCGTTTCACGCCACGCACCCCCCACCACCGTGTATCCGTCGTAGCCGCCGCCGCCGTCGCCGTCACCGCGACGTTGGCCGACGTCGGCCGACGCCGACGCCGAAGCTCATGCCGAACCCGAACTCGTATCCGAACTCGAAACCGAACTCAAAGCCGAACTCAAAGCCGAACTTGAATCCGAACTCGAAGCCGAAGACGACGACGACAAAGACAATGACAATGACAATGACGATGACGATGACGACGCTAACGACAAACTCTCCCGCCACCGATTCGATGGCGCCAACGTCGTTTATCCTCCTACCCTCCTTACTTCCTCCTTTCGCGTCATTTCTTCGAGATTTTAAGCCACGATTTTCTTTTCCCACGATAACACTTTATTTCTTCATTGATATCTATTTTCTTCTATTGCCATCCGACACTTTTCTATTATACGAAAACCCTATTCCATCCCCTGTTTCTATACTCAACCCCTTTTCGAAGCTAACCGAAACAGAAAGCTTGGATTATCTTACCCTCTCTCTCTCTCTCTCTCTCTCTCTCTCTCTCTTTCTTTCTTTCTTTCTGTCTATTTCGATTTTATTTGTCTATATAGATTTTGTTTCGAAAGATAGTGACAATGCGATCTTCGTCGATCATTCTGCAACCCTGATCGAGATTCCTCATGCAACCCTGACCACTTCTATAAAAACTTGGCCTATAGTGCGTTAAACATAGATCAATTTATTCGAATAATATCTTTTTTTACCATTTGCTTTACCAATTATTTCTTCTTTTTATTTTGTTTCTTAATTACTATTTTTCATTTAATGCTATCGATAATTTTTAATTGGCAACATACTAGTTTCGTGTTGACCACGAAGCGAGACTAATTATTATTTGTTGGGTTTTTCTCCCTTTTTTCTTTTTTCTTTTTTTACTTAGATGTTTTAAAAAGTACCGATAATAAATTGTTTCACGTAAACGTGTCTCAGGAACTATTAGTGCTTTTTCGATAATCTAAGTACGATCATTACGATGCTCTCGCATAACACACACACATACACATCTACATATATATAAGGAAAGAGAGAGAAGGGTTACATGTTTGTGACTTTACGGTGGATGGCCGCACGCGAATGACCTCGAAGATCATTTGTCATACTGTCGCAAGTTTGCTAGTTAATGCACCGGCCTGCATCACGCGTGCGCACGCACGTTCTACTTCCTCTTGTCGGGACCATCCTTCTTGCTACAATTTTCAAACTATAATACTTTATACATACCCTTTATACATACATACATACAAATTTATAGACAAGAACTTACACATGCATATATACATAGAAATACGTAAAAGTAATAAGCACGTTGAGATGCACATTTGAAAGTAAGAATATACGTGGTGTCTTTCTGTTTTCCCCACTTTGCTGTATCTCTCTTTTTCTCTCTCTAATGTCAAAAACTGACAAGTGTAAGAGCGTATTTAGTGCCAAGAAGAAGTCACCATCTCGACAAAGCTTCCTCGAATCGTAAATTTGACTTTTAACGACTTCTCTCCCCCTTTCCTCCTCCCTCATCCCTTTTTCTCTTTCTCTTTCGTAAGTTTTAGTATGCGAGAAAGATCAACGATCAAAGAAAGCTTGTTACCATTTGTTAAAGGTAAAGAGAGAGAGAGAGAGAGAGTAATATTATACCTGGATCTATAAACTCCGAAGCTCTACGAAGCTAACGATCGAAACCACTTCAATGATCGATAATAATTAACTTGTTCGAGATTTTCACCAGGACAGTATTACCACTGAACTTCTACGATTGGCCGATGGTAAATGCGATAAAGTTTAACGGCTATTAACGTTTATATACATTTGCATCTAACTAATTAACTAACTACCCCCTCTCATACACCCTCCTTCGAATTATCCATTTAAACATTTTCATCTATCCTCTATTGAATTTACAATTTTCCAAAACCACCCTATATACCTTGCGCTTCTTCCAGTAAAGTCTAAATCCCATATCGTATTTATTGCTTACTCTCTCTCTCTTTCTCTCTCTCTCTCTCTTTCTCTCTCTCTCTCTCTCTGCTTGGTATTATTAATTTAATTATTGTTATTGATCCTCTTGCTCTTAGCAGTCCGAGAAGAAAATGAGAAAATTAAAAAACAAAAATAGGAGGAGGAAACATAATTTATTAAAAATTGTTCAAGTTACTATTTTTCCTTTTTTTTTTTTTGTTTTTTGCTTTCGAAACAACTGATTTAAATTGTCCGTTATACGTCCTGCAATATATTACGTCATTTTTAATTATGTCACTAAAGTCTACCAGTTTATGACATCGTATTCGATACACTGTTTCGCTTCGATCTGCACCAATCAATTTCCCATTTCCTATAGTTACATTTCTATTAAACAAATAATATTATATCCGTTATTTGTGATTTTGTATCAACGAAAAATTGATTATATTCTGATCAATACCTTTTACACGTACATATAATATATATATACTCACGTATATGTGTAAATAAAATTTTACTATTGAAGTATAGAAAAAAAAAAAAGGAAAAATGTGTTAAACTTATCGGATCGTTTGGAACGTTTAAATTTCAGCATAAACTTCGAGAAAAACGATATCACGAGATCGATAGATCGTATCAAGGATGAAACACGTAAACTACTATGAATTCTGAAATTGGATCAAACGATCGAGCGATTCCAATTTATGTCGCTTACAATACCATGCTGTACTCGTTCGCATAACGATAACAAGAGCAACGAGGAATCCTATGAAAGAGAAATAGAAACATAGAATCACTAGGGAGAGATAGGGAAAAAGGGAGGGAGAGAGAGAGAGAGAGAGAGAGAACATACGGTTTACACCAGGCACCAAAATTAGCGTTCACCAATTATTGGTTGCAACACTTTATCGATTTCTTATTGTTATCGCTCGTAAATTAATTAAATTAACAATTACGATTGGCACCACGGGGCAAACCCTGTGCTCGTAAATAACATCGATTGCGTTATTCTCATGTGTTTATGTTTGTTCTTACCCATATATAAACATACGTATGTATATGTATATGCAAATGCAAATATGTATTGTATATATATATATGTTGTATTATATATTAACCGTTTGAGTCCCAAGCAGCGCGATCGCGCTGTTCACATTTTATGTTGAAAAAACCCAGTACATTTCGAGCATTGTAGAAAACTGACGGTGCGCTCATATATATAAAACAAATGCATACAAGTAGCGCTATTGCGCTGCTTGGGTCTTCTCTTACTCATTTAGAAAAAGCGCGATCGCGCTGTTTGGGATTCTTCGACAGTGTTTTTTCAATACCGTCTGGGACTCAAACGGTTAAATCGTATAATTCAGTTAATTAATGAAATATCATTGACACGAAATAATGAAGAATTTTAAGAAAAATTTAATATAATAAATTTTGATAATCATGCAATAAGTACACTTATTGTTTTAATAATAATCTGCCTAAGCCTTAGTCCTTACATATATACTAATCGTGTAGTATATATATGTAAGATTTATTTATGGAAAAGTATGGTATTTATTTAAATATTTAATGTTTAATAAGATATGTTATATAATAAGAGATAGAATATAATAAGTATTTAAATTAAACTGCACCAAATCAAAAAGGCAACCCTTTTCTTTTAGTTTTGAACTTTCATTATAAAACAATTAATTGCACTCAGAAAGAATGTAATATAAAAAAAAGTATAAACATTCGAAATCTTAACGTCTAAATGAGAAGGATAAACCTGGTGTGCTCCTATCAATTTTGTAATCCTCGGCTCTAGTTTCGTCAGAAATAACAGATTTTGTTTTTATTAAATTCACCTCATCACCTTGTAGCTGAAGATTGCTTTTATAAAATTATTGAAACAAGTCTGTCAAGTAAGCAATGTCACTTTTGGATTAAATTAAATTGGATCGTAAAGTATGACTTTTATCTTTCAAGAACTCCAAACCGAGTTAAATATTTTATAAAACATATCTAAGCAGGCACCCTTTGACAACCAACCAACTTCTGTATAAAACAGCAAACAATTAAATTCTTCATCGCTTTCAATGCAAAGCTGTTTATAATAATCCGTCATTCAATGATTTGCTTCTGATTATGTTGATAGCTTTAATTACATATTGTAATGAATTATATAGGCGTGCACTTAAATTTTTGACAACTAGATGATGACGATGGATGATACAGTATACTGTTAATACATCTG